TGCAAAACATATTTTCCCCATAAATTCTGTTACTGGTATGAATGTGTATTCATCTCTTTTGTCAAGAAAGTGAAGGATAAACTCAGGGATAGTGGCAGGTTTTTCTTTCATATATAGATTGTTTGAGGATAGTTTAATTATTGTACTGGAGTATCAGACCAGTTTGGAGAAAATGAAGAATCATTCTTTGGACTGATAAAAAATGCAATTCTTTTTAAGAATGGGAAGAAAGTGTTGCTAGAAAACTGAAAGCATATGAGCTTGTCTAGTTTTGGTGAAAATGCTATTGTGCCTTTTTTCAGTTTCTATGGTATTTGGGGAAAAGGAAGAAGTGTTGAATGGCAAAAATTACCCTAAATGTTAGATTGGAAGCAGACTATTCTTTAACACATCTGTCAGATAAGCTCCAAAGTACGCATGTGATATTGATTAATCTTACTTGAAAATGTAATGCTGTTCGACTCAAGGGAACATCAGAATTTTTTAATTAGGCAAGTTCATTATATCATGATAGATTGATAGATTATAGATAGACCCTGATAGCATAGTGGTTAAAGTGCAGTATTGTAGGCAAACTCTACCCACAACCTGGAGTTTTATTCTGGCGGGACTTAACCTTCCGAGGTTGGTAAAAGGAGGATCCAGATTGTTGAGGGCAATATGAAAATAATGCTTACATTGTAAGCTGCCCAGACAGTGCTGGAAAGCACTATGGGACAGTATATAAGCCTAAATGCTACTACTATATTAGTGTGTGTATGTGTGTGTGTGTGTGAGAGAGAGAGAGAGAGAGACAGACAGACAGACAGACAGACAATGGATTAATCCAGTTGAGGCATGAATTAGTTTTTATAAAAGTAAACAAACAGCACTCCTTTAGAGAATGTAATCCCTGAGCAGCAATTCTTGTATCTGTATCTTTACCTAGAATTATAACCTATTGCACTAGCTTTCTCCCTCAACTTTATGGAAAGTGTAACCCTAAGATTGTGTTTTCACATATGCATTTCAAGTTTTCACAGTCAATTTCAATAAAGTGTTCTCTTAGCCTATCCTTGTTCCTATTTTGGGTGTTTGAAAGCCAAATTATTATGGAAATAGTATTGTTGAATATGGATATAAACAACTAGTTATACATCTGAGACTAATAGAATTAAATAGGACATTTCCCATTTAAATTGAGAAATGTTAATATGATTTGATACAGTTAGTGTACAAAATGAAAATGTAATAAAATATATATGCTTCAAATCAGTTTTGGATCATCCAATATAATAGGTGCTGAAATAACATTGTCTCCCTTTAGTAACCCTTCAATATTTTTTCACTTATCTTTTGCACCTTTTTTCTTATCACTCCCACTCTATTTAAAATTCCATTTTAAAAAATGTACAATACCCATATAAAAATCAGTGAGCTTCTCAAACATATTTATGTACATTATTTGGGACTAACTGGCATATGACCCAGCAGGGCTCTTCATATATTATTCAGTTTTATCTTTCATTAAAAGATCATTTACTACTATAAATTCCCTTTCTCCATTATAAAAATGAAGAAAAACTTGAAGCTGTATATTTTTGGTTGTGGATTATCTAGTATATATGTAGGTAACAAAGGAAAAAAGTAAGGGAGTTTTGTGGTTTTCTTGTCATATAACTATATAATTAGAAAAGAGATTCAGCTATTTAATCTGCTTTTTTCATACTATATGACTTGTTCTGAGAAATCTGTGTTACAAACATTTATTCTCTAAAAAACTATCAACACAAAAATACTCTTAAAGGAAGCGTATCACATAACTGAAAGACAGTCTTTTTTTCTAATGTTCAAGAAGAAATGATGTTTTTCTTGTGGGTAGAATACAGAACTGATACTATTGAAACTTTTGTGCCCTTCTCTTTATGCTGTTTTCACCATAATTATATTGAACTCCATGCAAACAGTATTTTATTATGGACATCTGCTGTCTTGCACAATAACTGGTTGCCAATTACTATAAACAGTATAATAGAATTGCAGCATGCTTTGCTCCAAGAATGAATGCTACTTTTTAGGGTAGCCAGTCCATGTTATTCTTATTATCTGCAATTGCTATTATATCTGATATCATAATAAAAATAATAATCCCTTTTACATCTGACAAAAATGTCATTCTTCTTAAAAACATTTGTGGTCATTTTTATTTCTTCCTCCAGCTGGTTAGGTTTTATGTATCGTTTTGCTTTTATTAGTATGAGAGACACTTATAAAGGAGCTGGCATCTTTAGGCAGCCTTCGAAAAGGCTGAAATCACCTGGTTATGTTCATTTTAGATGAGTATATAATTGCTGTGCTATATAAGACCAAAGACTTAGCTACTTCAATATTCTTGATCTCAAGGTAACTAATCGTGCCCGGGGGCCACCACTGAAATAATATTGAAAAATTAATTTCCTTTTTGTTTTTCCTAATGCTCTTTAAAACTGCTCAGGTTGGCTTCATTGCTGTATCTTCCAGAAACAGATTTTAATTGAATTTGGAAATGGTTTAAGAAGTCCTGTCTTTATTAATTTGGTTTTGGCACACTTTGGGTTCCTTTGAGCATCTATCAGGATCCCAGAAACACACCTTCTGTATAGCAGAGCTAGATCTCTGAAAGGGCATTCCCCAGAGATTCAGATAGCACTGAATCAGAGATTCCACTGAGATTCAAACACTACTGGTGTGGTGAAGAGCTGGCTCTTTGTGCAGGCCTTTGACAAGTGTGATTAATTTAGGGTGACCAGACGTCCCACATTTGGCGGGACAGGCATGCCTTCTCATAATTTTTCCCACGTCCCGGGCCATTCCCAAAAGATCCCGCATAATTTTGGCGCCTTCTTCGACTCGCTCCCCCGCCCATCCGTTGCCGCTCGCATGGGCGGGGTAGCATAGCGAGTGAGCGGGCGGATGGGCAGGGGAGCAAGCTCGCCTTTCCAGCTCCACTTCCGGACAAGCCGTGGGAAAGCCTCCGCGAAAAGAGCCACTTGGGGCCGCCGCTTCTTCTCCGAACTCAGAGTAAGTGACGGGCAGGGTGAGTGAGCGGGCGGATGGTGGTGGGATCGCCGCCCGCTGCACTGCAGCTGACTCACCCCGGGCCGGGCGGGCTGGGAGGCTTTGGGCATCCGGGTGAGAAGAGCGCGGAGGAAGGCAGAGCGGCGCTCGATGCGACTCTGCTACTTCTGCTGGAGGAGCCCCTAGATAGGGAAGGCGGGTGGCGGGGCGGAGCAAGGGAGCGCAAGCGGCAGATACTGGGCTCATATGCAGACGGAGCTCTCCAGGCACAGGAGCACTGGAAAAGTGCTCCACTCATGCACCCACCAGGACGGAGCACGCTCGCTCGCTCGCTCCAGCCCTGCCTGCCGGCACGCTAAAGTGCCAGCATGACTTTGAAGTGCTGGCTTGCCGCTTGTCTTCCATGTCGGCCCGCGCGAAAGGCAATCCAGCCCTTCAAAGTCATGCCGGCAGTTTAGAACTCGGCCGCCATTCAGCGAAACATGTTTCGCTGAATGGCGGC